ACCTTTATCTTTTAGTTGCAAGCCTGTTGGACTCCGTTCCAGTGGACCTTAACATCAGTTCTACTTCTACTGGCAGCCCGCCACTTCAACACTACCCAATCACGAACTACCAATCAGAAGATCAGAACCAGCCCAGAACCGGACCTACTCCAGGGTTTTACTTTATTTCACAATAAATCTTTTAACCCTCTCAGTGGTTGTTGTTGTTGTTTGCGATCCGGCCTCTGGTTCATGACACTTCTGTATAAAAAACACAAAGATTGTGATTTGAAAAAATAATAAAATGATTAAAGTGAAAGAGGAAGAGGGGCAAGCGTCGCTCTCTCTCTGAGTTCCTACTCTCTGTTGCTGCGTGCTGTGGGAGACGAGCGTCAGCAGCTGAGGGGGTGTCACAGTTTGTCAGAGCAGAGGGAGCGACACGGTTCCATCACGGCTCCACAAACCACGAGACACGTGTTCATAACTTGATTATTAGTCGGGCTGAGAGGTGACGAGCAAACAGCTGCTGAACGCACCCTGACACAATGAGAACGGTGAAAAACTAACAAACTGCTCCCTGCTGCAAAATGATCCGCGGGGGCACATGCCCCCCCAGGGGGCACGCCCCACTATTTGAGAAGGACTGAGGTAGAGCAACCATTGGGAGTGGTGGCACAGAGGTTAGAGAAGATGAGCCTGTGATCGGAAAGTTGCAGGTTCAACTCCCAGTACGGTCAACATCAAAATGTGTGTGGAAAAGATGAAACACCCACACCTGCCTCCACCCTCATTGGCTCCACTCTGGGCCCCTGAGCAAGGCCCTTAACCCCCACCATCTGCTCCTAAACAGATCTCTCTAGAAAATGAGTTCTCCTGACTCAGTGACACTACCTGGATAAATAAAGAGCAAATGAAAAGAAAAAAAAAACTTTAATTGGCAATTTGAGTTACCATGGCAACGTCATTTGCAAACAAAGACCATTTTTCTCATTGAAAAACACTGAGCCTCCAACTGTCACGGTGAGGTCACATGACGTAGAGTGGGGGGGTCTCTAAACAAAAGTGATTAAATTTTGGAGCCGTTTTGATTCAAGATGGCTGCCACAGCTACCTCAGAAAGCACAGAAGTGACTATAACTCAGTCATTCTTTCAGATATTCAGCTGAAGTTAAGTTTATTTGTACCTGAGAGCGAGTTGTTTCACAATCTTAATGCAAATCAAATATCTAACATGGCCACCTTAGCTAAAAGGGAAATAACATGTCAGCTATTTTAAAACATTGAGCTGAACTTTCTCAATTCAAATCTAAAAATGCAAGATGGCCACCAGAGCTACTTTCAAATGGATATATCTCAGAGGTTTTCTGAGCTATTGGCCAACAACAATCCCTAATGGTCTCTGATTGCAAATCAAAAATGTAATATGGCCGCCAGAGCTGTAAAGAAACAAAAACACCATAACTTGTTGATTTTTTTTCCATATTGAGCTGAAATTTGATGTGATGGTAGCTGAGAGTGAACAACAACACACAGTACTGTCACATCCACATTTCAAACTGGACACAATATGGCAGTCCCTGTCAATGGTTCTACAGCAACTTTCTAGTTTTTAATCTTCTTCTGACATTTCTGTGGATGCAGATACTTCAAAAGCTGAGCTGCACCCAGTTATTATAAGAAAACTTCATTTTATTGTAATCTAATGCATTTTAAGGACATTTCTCTATTATTAGCAGCTTCCCTGTAGTTTCTCAAAGTTCACTAAAGCTAACAACAAGTTAACAGTGTACTTTGTAATCAGATCAAAGAGTTGTGTATGGTTGTTTTTATGCTGATTAAATAAAACTAAACTCAAAGAAAAACATTTTGCTGTGCCTTTAAATGATCCTTACATCCTCAATTGGAAAACACTTTTGCAGACATCTTTTGAACATCACAGAATAAATAAATAACATGATTCAGAGTAAAACAACTTTTCATTGTGAAGAAGTCCTTAACAAAGTCATTTGTAATTATGAGCCTGTTCACGCCACCGTAGGACAAGGTGTTTGATTAGAGCTGAACTCTGTGCTCTCCAACGGTTAGCTGACCTTTGTAAAGTGGTGAATGAGAGCGCGGCCGTCCATCTTGCCTTTGTAGAAGCAGGGGGTGACCACGAGGACAGCGTCAGCTCCGGCTGCTGCCATCTTCCCTGTGAGCTCGACTGTTGCTCTCGTCGCTGCACAAAAACCACGTCATTAGGATCAAACCTGTACAAACTATGCACCCTCTTCAAATCACAGCAGTTTTGTTCATGCTAAGACTAACAGCTGAGAAAGAGGCTCCCAGCAACAAACAATAATATTAATCAAACTTCCTAAAAGTAATTTATGGGGTTGGCATCAACAACTAACGAACTGTTGGAGTGGCTGCAACAGCAAAGTCATTTTATTAAACAGAAAAATGGTCATAACTCAGCTGGGAGGTGTGATCATTCAAAGCTATGGAAACTGAGGTGACGCCTAGAACTGACCTGTATGTGTGATCTTTTTTACTAAAATGTAAATTAAATAATTAAAAGAAGTTCTGGCTTCAAGTGTTGGATTTAATATTTTATACCTTTTTATAATTCCTATCAAGCACTCAAATGTCAGGTCATATAAAGTGTGTGTGTGTCTTTCTTCCAAGGTTGAACTATGTTTATAGAAAGTGTTTGCTAATTCTAACTAGTTGACCTTTAAATATAATCTCATAGTAGCTAAAGATAATTTTACAAGTTCACATTTGATAAATTACAAGCAATCAAATCAGGCCAGAGAGCAGACTGATTAACATAAATAAAGCTAGAACAGCTCTTTAATTTAGACAGTATAGTTTGACTAAGTAAAATCAAATTAAGAGTATAACCATGATCCAAATAAAAACACGAACATAAGTTAGATAATATAATTATTCCTAGAAATAAACAACTATTTCAAATCAGTGTTATCACTAAGGTATAATCACGTTAAACAAACAGTGTTAACAGTTTTAAACGCAGACACAGAAACTAAGATGATTCTGCCTTAAAAACAGAATCACCAGACCTCCAACAGATATTGAAGTAACACCCAGGAGGTAGGTAATAATTAATAGTTATTAATTATTACGCATAAACAATTTAGACACGAATCATTTTATATCCCTAAAGTATAATAGCAAGTTAAACTTTAAACAAAAGCCGAACCAAAACTTATCTGAAATATAGACGTAACGTCCTTGAGGGGGCGGGCTACGTCGTAACCATAGCGACAGAAGCTGAACCAATCAGGAAGCTAGCCTTCTCCAACGGGGATAAAAGGCCGGGAATGACGCACGCGCACTGAGCATTTTCAGAGAGGCACGCACGAGGCGGTTTGGTCTTAATGCTCCATTTATATGCATATATCTTATTAATGTAACTGTTTGTCTCTGAATATCTGTAACCCATGTTGTGTCAAATAAATCTTTTATACGAAGGGCGACGCCTCCGCCGTTTTGAACACGACGTGGTTATTCTATCCACAACACAAGTGATGCCTTTTTGTCCCGTTCTTACCATACCATTTTATTTATAGAGCACTTAAAACAGCAACAAGGCCAACCAAAGTGCTGTACAGACAGAACAACAGGTAACACACAAAGCAAAATACAAAATGAGGTAAATCAGAATATAGACAAAAAAACGATGCAGATAATGACGACAAACCAGTGTGGAGCATACAGGATCAAAACACAGATCATCTGGTGTTGAAAGCTACTGAATAGTAGTGAGTTTTTAAACAAGACTTGAAAACCGAGAGGGAGGGGGCCAGTCTGACAAGCAGAGGTAACTCGTTCCAAAGTCTTGGTCCTGCTACAGAGAAGGCCCTGTCACCTCTGCACTTAAGACGAGTTCCTGGAACTGTGAGGAGCAACTGGTCCGCTGACCTCAGGGAGCGTGGTGGGATAAACGGTTGTAGCAAATCAGAGAGATGGGGGGGAGGGGGGGGGGGGGGACACTGTTCAGTGATTTGTAGACATATAGGATTATTTTGAACTGGATTCGAAGGTGAACCGGTAACCAGTGCAGTGAGGCAAAAACTGGTGCAATGTGCTCTCTTTTGCCTGTACTGGTTAAAAATACATGCCCCCGCTGAGACGCTCCAGACCGGTACAAAAGAAAGTTAAATGTTGGAGCCAGGACAGTGGCCCCATACTGAGAGATTGTTTTGACCGAACAGACTGGCAGGTTTTCAGAGAAGCTGCTGAAAATGGAGGTTTGCTTGATCTTGACCAATACACATCCTCAGTCCTGGGTTACATTAGTACATGTACTGACACAGTCTCCACTATCAGAAATGTTAAAAGCTACCCAAACAGAAAACCTTGGCTGAATGCAGAGGTGCGTACCCTGCTGGAAGCCAGGAACACTGCCTTCAGGTCTGGAAACTCAGAGGAGCTGAGTAGGACAAGAAAAGAGCAGGTTGCTGGTATTAAGAGGGCCAAGGCCACATATGCAAAGAGGATCGAGGGTCAATTCATCTCACAAGACCCTCGGAGCATGTGGAGGGGCATTAAGTGCATAACAGATTATAAAGGAAGGAGTGAACAATGCCCCAAAGACCCATCTCTGACTGATGCCCTCAACAAGTTCTATGCACGCTTTGAAGACCCGAACAGACCACCCAGCACCAGACTCACCTCGCCACCGGATGAAGAGCATCTCAGCGTGACCTCAGCAGAAGTAAGGAGTACCTTCAGGAGGATTAATCCGCACAAAGCAACTGGCCCAGACAACATCCCCGGAAAAGTGTTGAAGGAATGTGCTGATCAGCTCTGTGAGGTGCTGGCAGACATCTTTAACACCTCACTTACCCTGGAGACAGTTCCCACCTGCCTGAAGACTGCCACCATCATCCCAGTCCCAAAAAGCTCTACAGTGACTGGTCTGAATGACTATCGGCCAGTGGCCCTCACCCTGATAGTCGCTAAATGCTTCAAAAAACTGGTCATGACTCACATCAAAACAACCATCAACATCAACGAGGACCCTCATCAGTACGCATACCGTGAGAACCGATCAACAGAGGATGCAATCTCCTCTGTGGTCCACACTGCACTCAACCACCTGGAGCAGAAAAACTCTTACGTCCGTATGCTCTTTGTGGACTTCCCATCCGCCTTCAACACCATGATCCCCCAAACCCTGATGGACAAACTATCCACACTAGGACTAAGCCCCTCCATCTGCAACTGGGTACTAGACTTTTTAACAAACAGACCACAGTTAGTGAGGATCCACAACCTCTCCTCCTCCACCATAACCCTCAGCACTGGCTCTCCTCAGGGATGTGTGTTGAGCCCCCTCCTGTTTACTCTGCTCACGTATGATTGTGCAGCTACCCATCCAGGCTGTCACATTGTAAAGTTTGCAGATGATACAGCGGTGGTGGGATGCATCGCGGACAATGGTGGGTCCAGCTACGGGCAAGAGGTGGAACACCTGGAGAGCTGGTGCAGAGAGAATAACCTTCACATCAATGTGAAGAAGACAAAGGAGATGATTGTGGACTTCAGAAGGAACAAAAACACCTACACCCCCCTGAACATAAGAGGATCTGCGGTGGAAGTGGTCTCCAGCTACAAGTACTTGGGTGTGCACCTGAACAACAACCTCAGCTGGAGCAACAACACCACCAGCCTGATCAAGAAAGCTCATCAGAGACTCTACTTCCTCAGACGGCTGAGGCGAGCTGGTCTGGGAAGCTCAGTCCTCACCTCCTTCTACAGGTGTGCAGTGGAGAGCATCCTGTGCTCGAGCATCAATGTGTGGCATGGAGGCTGCACAGCTGCAGAAAGAAAAGCTTTGCAGAGAGTGGTGAAGGCTGCACAGAAATCTGTTGGAATCAGTCTCCCCACCATCACAGACATCTACACCTCCAGATGCAGGAAGAGGGCCACCTGCATCATGAAGGACTCCACCCACCCAGCACACACACTTTTTGCACCACTCCCCTCAGAAAGGAGGTTAAGGAGCATTAAGTGTAGAGCCACTAGACTGAGGAACAGCTTCTACCCTGAGGCTGTTAGACTCATGAATCTCTAACTAGAATAATCACTGTGAAAAACCACATCATGTTGCTGCTGATCTGTTTCATGTTGCTGCTGATCTGTTTCAATGTTGATGTGTTCATGCATGCACATCTGCTCACAGACTCATGTTCATGTTTGTGCTGATGTTCAATGTTTTATGTTATGAGTGCTTAGTGTATATTTAGTTGATGTTTTTCTTAGTTCATATCTTAGATGTTATTACTGTTTTTCTTATACATTTTATTGTTGGATGTAACTGGGACCCTGTGGACATAATTTCGCTCCACCACATGTACCACATGAGGTGCGAATGACAATAAAGAAACTCTGACTCTGACTCTGACTCTGACTCTGACTCTGAAAATGGAGCTGTTGCATTCTGGACCAGTTGTAGTCGTGCAGTGGAGGTCTGACTGATACCCTGATACTGTTCTTCACACAAAACAATAACTAGAGTGATGCAAAATGGCTGTCATTGTTGCATCATTTCTGAAAAACCTTCAGCACATTATCTAACACCAGCTAACACCAGCACCTCTGCAAGAAAGCACAGAGTCGCCTTTTTCTTCTGAGGAGACTCAGGTCCTTTAACATCTGCAGGACCATGCTGCAGATGTTCTACCACTCAGTGGTCTCTTGTACTCTGTGGAGTTCTGGAGCAGCAGGGTGAAGAGAGCTGATGTCAACAGACTTGATAAACTCATCAGGAGCTGGTTCAGTTCTGGGAGTGGACCTGCAGTCTCTGACAGAGGCGTCTGAGCAGAGGATGCTGAGGAACCTGCTCCAGATCCTGAACAACACGTCACCCCCCCGCATGACACCCTGGACTCTTCCTGCAGCACCTTCAGTCCTAGACTGTGACCACTGAGGTGCTCCACAGAACAACACAGGAAGTCCTTCAAACTGTTAAACTCCGCCCCCTTTCTGCACAATAAAATTAATCCTGCACCAAAATCAACTCTTTCATGTTTCTGTCTGAACCTGATCTGTTTTAGATCTTAACTGTTGGTATTTTTATATTCTGTTATTTTTTTATATCTTGTGTGACTCCTTGTGTACGGTCCTTTGTACTGAAACTCTGGCACAACAATTTCCTGTGGTTTCATTAAAGATCTATCTCATCTTATCTAGTAGTGACAGGTCAGG